CAGGCTTTTGAGGGAACTAAAGAAAGAATTAAGAAGTTGTTTGATAAGGTTGAACTTTCTGTTTCTGCATATGACACTGCTTGGGTAGCAATGGTACCATCTCCAAATTCCTCAGAGGTCCCTTGTTTCCCTGAGTGTGTAAATTGGTTACTTGAAAATCAACATCCTGACGGATCTTGGGGTCTTAATCATCATCATCCCTTGCTAATTAAGGATGCTCTATCGTCGACACTTGCATCTATCCTAGCACTAAAACGATGGAAAATTGGTGACAAACAGATGAATAATGGTAATTGATCTCAATGATTTACTTTTTTTTTTTTCTTTATTATCGGGTGCTCATTGGATAAGAGGTATCTATTATTGCAGGTCTTCAGTTTATTGAAAAGAATTTTTCTTCAGTTACTGATGAGAAGCAACATACACCAGTTGGATTCGATATAATATTTCCAGGGATGATTGAATATGCTAAAGATTTGAGTCTGAATCTCCCTTTGAGATCGAGAGATATAGATGCTATGCTTCATAGAAGAGATATGGAGCTTCTAAGGTATACTTGTACGCTAACTCATATTTGGTTATCACTTCAAAGAAATCTATGTGAGATGATGTGCCATTAAACTAATTCATGATATCAAATAACAGCAGAACATGCATCAACTTAGTTTATTTCCATCAGTGACTTAAAATTCAGTAAACATTCAACTTGGTTCTCTGATTTAAGGTTGCCTGATGAGTCTGATGAGTGCTATCTGGGAACTACAGAGTACCAGGAAAGAGATTGTCTCTTATATTCTATGAAGTAAACTGATTGCAAGTCATACAGAGTTTTCCTTCTAATTAAAAAACTATAGAATAAAGGCGAATCTAGTACAAGGAAATCATTTAAATTTCATGGTGTTTCTGTAACTGAAGTGACATGCTATCTATGACTTTGTATTGATCTAGTGGATATGGAAGCAAACTGAAGGGACGAAAAGCCTACTTAGCTTATGTTTCAGAGGGGATGCAGAAGATTCATGACTGGAAAGAGGTCATGGATTATCAGAGAAAAAATGGATCAATCTTCAATTCACCATCAACCACAGCAGCTGCTCTTATGAAGCTTGGCAATGCCCGTTGTCTTCATTACCTCCAGTCACTCGTACAGAAGTTTGGGAATGCAGGTTTCTCTTTGTTACAATGTGTAGTGTAATTTATGCATCTATGGTGAAAAATTGCTGATTCATTGTTGGTCTCATCAGTTCCCACAGTTTATCCTCTGGATATGTATACTCGTCTTTCTACAGTTGACAGTCTTGTTAGTTTTGGAATTGATCGACATTTCCGGGATGAAATTAGAAGCGTATTAGATGGAACATACAGGTAATATTCCTTTTGGAGAGAGAATATCTTTCCATGAATTGCTCAGTTTAACTTTGCACAAATAGGTTAGATTTTTTTTAATTTTATACATGATTAGTTGTTGATTATGATTGTATCTTGAAGAAAGCTGTATATTTTATTCCATGATTTTCTTCTGCACTATTACATTATTTATAGGGTTGGATATCAAATCAATATCTCCCAAAAATAGGATGAAAAATATACTTCTAAAACATTTAGGAAACTTTCCTCTATTTAGGATTTTGGCATCAAATTTACATCCTATTTTTTTTTTTTTTTTTTAGATTTTCTCCTAATATTTATGCATATTTCTTCTCATAGATTTTCTCCAAATATTTATGTACTTCCCTCAAGGTAGGCATAGATGTTGATCATGCCAAGCTTGGAGCTCAAGTCCTCAAAGTTCTTTTTGTTGGCAAGGCCTTAGTCAGTATGTCCATTGTTTGTTTTCGGACAAAACGTTTACCTCATTGATTCTCCCTTGTTCTACATTTACCTTTATGACATGTGGATTTATCTTAACATGCTTAGTTCGATCATGGTGAACCAGACTATTTGCAATACTCATTGCCGATAGATTATCGCACAACATATACTTCTAAAAAGTTTAAGAAACTTTCATCTATCTAGGATTCTAGTATCAAATTCAGATCCTATTTTTCCTCCTAAAATTTCTACATATTTCCTCCCCTAGATTTGCTCCTAATATTTCTGCATATCTCATAATTGAAAAGCAAATCATAACTTTAGCCAAACCAACAGATGCTGGCTGCAGGGAGAGGAGGAAGTATTTTCAGATCCAATTACTTCTGCAATGGCATTCCGTTTATTGCGTGTCAATGGATACGATGTCTCTTCAGGTGTGTTGCTTAGGGACTTGTGTTTTTGAGTATTATTTCATAAACTGTTCTTCTTCGTTAAGCTTTTTGTTATTATGTGGTGTAGATCAGTTAAGTCAATATGCTGAAGAAGATCATTTCTTCAATTCTCTTGGAGGATATCTGAAAGACATTAGTGCTGTCTTAGAGCTATTCAGAGCCTCAGAAATTATTATACATCCAGATGAATATATTCTCGAGAAGCAGAACTTGTGGACAAGTCAATTTTTAGAAAATGAAGTATCCAATGGTTCAGTTTCTAAAAATAGATTCAGCAAATATATTATCCAAGAGGTAGCTTCTTCAAATAACTAAGGTTTTCTTAAAGAATTCAAAATCTCTTTCAGTTTTGATGTAATTCCTGAAAGGCAGCAATTATTCATGATTTCAGGTTGATAATGCTCTTAAAATTCCCTATCATGCAAATTTGGACAGCTTGGCACACAGGAGAAAAATTGAACATTATAGTACAGATAGTACAAGGATTCTAAAAACTTCATATTGGTATACGGAGTTTGTTCCTGTTTGATTTTGGTCCTTCATTTCTGCTCTTTCACTTGTGGAAAATAATTATTACCTAATGAATAAGAACTGTTAATACTGCTTACTTATCCTTTACTGTTCATGTGCTAGTTCCCCGAATATCAGTAATGAATATTTCTTAAAACTGGCTTTCGAAGACTTCAGTATCCGCCAGTCAACATACCAGGAAGAGCTCAAACTCCTTGCAAGGTATTGTTTAGCTTTTCCTTGGTTTACTGTTATGCCCCCTCTTTGGACATGAAGCTCAATTGTTTACTTTGGTGTTGAAAAAAAAGTGGCAAGCTCAGAAATAGCCTAGTTTGATTCACTTTAAAGTGATAGGAGCAACTTGAGTTGTTCCTTACAATCTTGAAATTGATCTGGTCACATAAACAATCTCGGTGTTGCCTTATTAGAGATATCTTGTGAATTTGAACTTTTATAGGGTTACCACTATTTTTCCCTTGATAAAGAGGATTTTTTATGGGTATCATATGATTTCCTTTCAAATGTATGCAGCTGGGTTGAGGAGAAAAGATTGGACAAGCTCAAATTTGCCCGGCAGAAGCTGGCTTATTGTTACTTCTCTGCTGCTGCAACCCTGTTGACTCCTGAATTATCCAATGCTCGGATATCTTGGGCCAAAAATGGTGTTCTTACCACTGTGGTTGATGACTTCTTTGATGTTGGAGGTTCGAAAGAGGAATTGGTTAACCTTATCCACTTGATTGAGAAGTGTGCTCTTTTTCCTTTCCTTTCTTTTTGTGGATTCCTTTGGTGAACTACTGCCTCTCCGATTTATTCTTTTAAAAGAAATCAAATTGTTGCAGGTGGGATGAGAATGTTGCTGATGATTGTTGTTCAGAGCATGTTGAGATCATATTTTCAGCTCTTCATAGTACAATCTTGGATATCGGAAAGACGCATCTGCATGTCAGAAGTATGATGTGACAAATCACATTATCAATATTGTGAGTTTACATCCTCCAGTTCAAAATTTAGGCTCCCTTTGGTACAGGGAAGAAATTTACAGTTTCCATTTCTAAATTTTTATATACAGCATTGTTCCACAAATATGCAACTCTTATATAGTTTTATGAATAAACACATGCAGTTACATGAATTTAAATGTTTTTATGTACTGAATGAAGCATTAATTTCTTGTTATTTTCTGTCAAGTTTCTAACAGTACTAGTCAGATAATATTTAGCCTCTTTCACTTCTCTCACACAAAAAAAAAAAGAGAGAAGGTTTTTCATTTAACTGACACTCTTCCCACTCTAACCCTGCTTTCATGATAAGATTGCAGTAATTTCCCAATCTTCCTTTTACTTTTACATGCAAACATTAGGGTGTACAAAAGCATTCTTGATATGACATGAGCAGGAAATATTCGACCATGGAGTCCTAGAGGAGATTGCCCATATTGGATGTACTATATTCATTTCACAAAGTACATAACATGAGCCATGTTTTCCCTGCAGTGGTTGGACTTGCTGAAGTCCATGTTGCAGGAAGCTGAGTGGCAGATAAACAAGTCTGTCCCTACTCTTGATGAATACATGATAAACGGATATGTATCATTTGCATTGGGACCAATCGTCCTCCCAGCTGTCTACTTTGTTGGGCCTAGTGTTTCGGAGAAGGTTGTTAAAAGTGATGAGTTCAATAATCTATACAAGCTCATGAGCACTTGCGGTCGTCTTCACAATGACATTCATAGCTTTAAGGTGCATCTTTTTTTTCCCTTAAAGAAAACACTAAAACAATTGTATTTACATCCATGCTCATACACCACACGCTCATGGAATGCTATTGGATTGAATTTCTTTTTCTTTTTTCTGATAATCAATAATTGATATCTTGCAGAGAGAATCAAGTGAAGGAAAATTGAATGCTGTATCATTATACATGATGCATCATAGCGGCACTCTTAATGAAGAAGAAGCCATAAGAAAAATGAAGAGCGATATCGTGCATAACAGGAGACAGCTTTTAAGATTAGTTTTGCAGGAAGATAGTATCGTTCCGAGAGCTTGCAAGGATTTGTTTTGGAAAATGTGCAAAATTGTGCACATGTTTTACATCAAGGATGATGGCTTCACCTCACATGACATGATGAATGTGGTGAATGCAGTAATTCAAGAACCCATTTCTCTCAGTGAATTTTGACTTGTGATTAATCTGTATGTTTGTATATATTGATCTGCACAGCAAACTGGCTGTCCCATTGGCAGCCAAGTTATATGGTTTTTCATGAGATGAACTCTGTTGTCCATGGAATAAAATTGTCTTGTATTGCATATTGTTAATTTCTTTTTGCTGAAAATTGCAAGCTGTTTTTTATTTATTAGTTTCTCAAGTTTCAATCTTTCTCAAGAATAATTTATATTTTAAAAAATATTAATAAATTATTAACGATCTTATTATAATTATAAATATACATATTTTTAGTTATAATTGATTTAATTTTTTTTTTTTTTTATCATTTTACTATTGTAAAAAGTTTTGAAAATAAACTCTATAAATTATTTATTTTTACACTTCTGTTTCTTTTTCATAATATGTAAATCATAACATTTTATGTTGTAAAATTGTGTATCATACTTTTTTTTATTAGTTTACACGACCATCATGTAATACAATACATAAAAATATTATTCTGTCTATTGAGAAAAATTAGACTTATTATTATTATTATATATATGTACTTCTGTAACAATGTACAGTTGCTATTTATTTTTTCCTTAAAAATAAAATCTGTGTGTAGAGTATGTGCAAGGCTGGAATTAGGCTACATAAAAAACTTGATTCCAAACTCATTTTCTTTAAATAAAGTAAAAGTTATAAATATAAGAAAAATCAAATTAAAATGAGATAATTGATTTTTGGGTATAACTGTAATTTACTTTTATTTTCGTCATTAATCAAACTTATATCCTACCTTGTAAGAAAGAGAAGGGAGATTATCTAATCAAGCACAACCTCCGTGGTACATAAGGGATCAAGTAGCTTGAGCATGATTGCAACATCTAAGTATCCATACCATCCAAACTGTTCTCAGATATTCACATACTCGTGTAAAATGCTCAAGAGTTTTTTGATGTGATAATAAATGAGGAAAAACTGTGTGACAAACCAACAACTCATAAGAAAGAATGAGACCATAAGAATAAGACAATAGAAGGGCAAAAACAATTGTGCAATGGTGTGCCTTCAGGACGCAGTAAGAAATATATCCGATTTGAAAGTAGTCAAGTAAGATCCAAGTCTAAGATCCGTAGGAAAGTGAGTCAGGAACCTAGAAGAAATTACAAGGGTCTGCACCTCGGTCTTAAAAGAGGAGAAATAAAAAAAAAAATAATAAGAAATAACAAAGTTATTGGGCTTCATGGCTAAAGAAAGGCTCGACCCAAGAATTCCACCACAAGAAAAAGCCTAAACATCATATAGGTATGGGTACCCATTGAATACATGTATGTGGGGATACACATGTACGAAACAAGATACCCATACATGCAGGAATTCTGCCCGCCCGAAGAACGACGTGGAGCATACCAGAAAGCTGCACCTGCACGCAGCAAGAGCGCGCATGCACGTGCACATGCATTAACAAGATGTGCCCGAGGACAGGCTCATGTGTACGCACACGCCCAATCAGTTGCGTAATAGCTACGCATGTGTGGACACACTCAGCTGCATCCCTAAATGGCCGAGCGCACGAGGAGGCTTCTGCACGCTAGGCGCACGCAACCCCGCACGCCAATTGCACTCAACTAGCCTGATCAAGCTAGCAGTCGCATGGTGAGTCCTTTTTGGACTTTTTTCTCACATTTTTTCCTAATTCTCCTTTAATTTCAGCAACAAATGACTTTTATAAATTTTGACATGTGTTTAAAGTACAAATTTGGATGTGAAATTCTACTCAATTTAGAAGTCAAAGGAAGATAAAGCTACATGGAGATTTAGATAAAGAGAAAAGATTTTTTTAATATTTATTTTTAATTATTCTTGATTATTTTATTAAATTTAGATAAGATTTAATTTTTTTTTAATATTTGTTTAAGTATTTTAGTTAAATTTTGTTTAAGAGTCCAAGTAAGAATTTATAATCCTACTTCGAGTCTAATTAGTAAATAAAAATCTATATAGGCTTCAATTCTTAGGTTGTAATCACAACTTAAGTTCAATAAAATTTTAAAGCTTTGTTTTGCTTTTAAATTAGCTTTCAAATTTTCTTTGAGTGTTCTTCAAATTCTTTCAAATTAAGTAGCTTCAGAAGGCTTGTTGAGCCAATGAATCGAGATCAACTTCTCAGGTAAGTCGTGACATCTTTTATTATTCTTTTTATTTCTCAATTATTTTGAATTTGCATTCCATATTGGTGAGTGTAGTTTCAAGTAGGTAGGATAAATTATGTGGTTAAGCTTTCTAATTGTTATGTTGTGTGAGGTTCTAAGAGTTAAAACGACCATTTTCCGTCCCTCCCGTGTCATTTGGTATTAGAGTTTAGCCTCCTAGTCAATCTATTATCTTTATTGCTTTAGCATCTTTGTTTTGCAATTCAAAAAATTTTATTGCTAATTCGTATTACATCTCACTTGAATTCATTTTATCTATTTAATTCAAGTGATCATTTGTTTATTCCATTAATAAAAAAAGTAAAAAAATACAAAAATATCTCAATTGCACATCATAAGACAATTTGCATTCTATTATTGCATGCAAACCAAACGAAAGAAGATTAACTGCCTATCAGTGTGACGAAAACCTTTGATTCATTAAAGAAAGATTACATCATCTATTAGGTGTGCGTAAAAACTTTTGTTTCATTATGTTGCATAAAGTAAAAGAAGATTACCTCACTTATGTGAGCGAAAATCGTTTACTTCACGTTTAACTTTTGTTTTACAACTTGAAATTTTGGATAAATGTTGCATAAGAAAACTTGATTAGTCGTGGACCATAGCCATCATTGGGGTAGTATAAGTAGGAAAAACCTTCTAGTTATATCCATCGAGATTGATCATATCCTTTACGCTTTAAATCTATACTTATTTCTTTATGCTTTACATTTCTATCCTTCATTGTGATATTGTTCCAATATATATTTGAATGGCTAATTATTTCTAATTACTTAGCATAAATTAAAAGCACACAATTCCTTCTTCTATGTGTTTATTTATGAGCTTTTAAAAATAAAATTCCATTAGAATTATTTGTTATGTCATTGAGACTAAAGTGCAAATCTTGATTTAAGTGGATCCAATTTGGAATGCTCAACTTGACTGAAGAAGCTGTAGTGTGAGAAGTTATGAGGTAAACATGAGTGAAGGTGAGAGAGAGATTTTCTTTTCACTAACCTTTGTCTTTGTAAGTAATTCACTATGTCTCACTAAAGCGCCAACAATAGATCTGTCACCATGAAAGAGATGATTATGGACATGTTCACCAAATTAAGTATTCAGATGGGGAACATGACTGTGCAAATGGATTGATTAAAGTAGGGAGGCAATTGCAACCATACTCGACACCAAGTAGTACAGGATAAGACAAGGATTTGTGGTAATGATGCTAGCAAGAGAAGAAAAGATCGACGAGAAAAAGTAGACAAAGATCTTAGTGCTTTTAAAAAACCAGTCTTCTAAGGGAAAAATGATGCTGAGGCCTATCTTAAATGGGAACGAAAGGTCGAACTAATCTTTGGTTGCCATAACTACAGTGAAGAGGAGAAAATCAAGCTAGCAACTCTTAAATTTACTGATTATGCTTCGGTCTGGCAGGATCAATTAGTTGCTTTCAGAGAACGAGATAGAGATGAGTCTATCTGAATCTAGAGAGAATTAAGATCCATTATAAGGAAGATATTTATACCATCCTACTTTGATAGAGATATGAATAAAAAGTTACAGTGCCTGACTCAAGGAACTAAGTCGGTAGAGGAGTATTATAAGGAGATGGAGATCATTATGATTCGCGTTAGGGTTGAAGAATGACCCAAAGCTATTATGACTTGATTCTTAGGAGGCTTGAATAAGGAAATTGCCAATATTTTTGAATAATGGAACTACATTAACCTAGAAAAAATGGTACATAAAGCTACCAAAATTGAGCGGTAGTTAAAGGGCAGAGGAACTACAAGGGGGTTCATCAGCATTGCTCCTTAGGTCAATCAAAAATGATCTAGAAGGGATGAGAATAAAGAAGGTTGAGAAGAAAAAGGATAAACAACCTTCTGGAGGTAATCCTAAAGCACTTGATATAAGGCAGAGCACTGTCAAGTGTTTTAAATATTTGAGAGTTGGACATGTTGCAACCTAATGTCCCAATCAATGGGTAATGATCATACAACATGATGGGAATGTCATCAATGATCATGAGAGTGACAATGAACAGGAGGACATGCCATGGTTTGGGGCTAACGAAGAGAGTATCGCCCAACTAATTTAGGGAGATGTGTTTGCAACCCAACGAACTCTAAACATGTAGGTCAAGACTGAAGACAGAGATAAAAAAGAAACCATCTTCCCCTTTAGATGTTTTGTTAACGAAAAGGTCTACAATGTAATTATTGATGGAGGCAGTTGTACTAATGTTGCCAGCATACTATTTATAGTTAGGGCATGGTTAACTTACATACCGCACCCTAATCCCTACAAACTACACTGGTTAGATGATAGTAAGGAAATCAATATCACTAAGCAGGTTCAAGTTCCATTTTCTATTGATAAGTATGAGGACGAGATATTATGTGATGTTGTTCCCATGTAAGCATGACATTTATTGCTAGGAAGACCATGGTAGTACGACATGAATATTAATCATGTTGGTGGAAAGAATCACTATTTCATACATATGGGAGGTCTCACCCATTTTCTAACTCCATTGTTAAGGAAAAAAGTGTACGAAAACCAGTTCAAAATTAAGAAGTCCTATGATGAGTTTGCAGGACAACAGGTAGAAGAAGATAATGCCCCAACAAGGACTAAAAATTGTTTCTTCCTGCATGAGCATTCAGATGTGCTTAGCTATTCTCTAGATTGCTTGATATTCTCTTTAGTTTCTTTGTCTTTAGACGAAAAGATTACAGAGAGCACAGATTTGAGGATGAATCCTTTCAAAATAGGGGGAAATGATACGATAATAAATGAGAAAAAATTGTGTGACAGACCGGCAACCCATGAGAGAGGATGGGAACATAAGAATAAGGCAACGAAGGGGCAAAAACGATTGTGTAATTGTGTGCCTTCAGGACACACTAGGAAGTATATTTGATATGAAAGTACTCAAACAAGATCCACTAAATCCAAGTCCAAGACATGAAGGAAGGTAGTTAAGAACCCAAAAGGAATTACGAGGGTATGAATCTCGGTCTAAAAAGAGAAGAAATTAGAAAAGACAAGAAATAAGAAAGTTATTAGGCCTTACGACCAAAGAGAGACTCAACCCAAGAATTTTGCCACAAAGAGAAGTCCAAAACATCATATGGGTATGGATACCCATCAGATACACGTGTGTGGGGATGCACATGTGTGAAAAAAGGTACTTGCACATGTGGGAATTTTACCTGCAAAAAAAAGCACGCGGAGCGTACGGGAAAGCAAACACATGCCCAACTAGCTGCACAGTAGCTGCGCATCTGCAGACACACCTAGCCGCACACCTAGACGGTCGTGCACACGAGAAAACTTTTGCATCCTAAGCGCATGAGGAAACTTTCGCACGCTAAGAACACATGACCTCGCATGCCAATTGCGCGCACTAGCCTGACCAGATTGACAACCGCATAGTGAGTCCTTTTTTACTCTTTTATCATATTTTTTCTAATTCTCCTTTAATTTCGGCAGCAAGGGACTTTTACAAATTTTGACATGTGCTTAAAATGCAAATTTACAGGTGAAATTCTACTCAATTTAGAAGTCCAAGGGAGATAAAGCTACATGGAGATTTGGATAAGGAGAGAAGAATATTTTAACATTTATTTTTAATTATTCTTGATTATTTTATTAAGTTTAGATATGACTTGAGTATTTTAATATTTTTGTTGAAATACTCAAGTTAAATTTTGTTTAAGAGTCCAAATAAATTTTTTTAATCCTACTCCGAGTCGAGTTAGTAAATAAAAAGCTTATACAAAGGTTTCACTCCTTAGGTTGTAATCACAACTTAAGTTCAATAAAATTTTAAAGTTTTGGTTTGCTTCTAAATAATCTTTACTAATTTTCTTTGAGTGATCTTCAAGTTCTTTCAAATTAAGTAGCTTCAGAAAAATTGTTGAGTCAAAGAATTAGAATTGACTTATCGGGTAAGCTGTGACATTTTTTCTTATTTTTTTTTATTTTCCAATTATCTTTAATTTGTATTCCATATTAGTGAATGTAGTTTCAAGTAGATAGGATAAATTAGGTGGTTAAACTTTCTAATTGTTACATTGTGTGAGGTTCCGAAAGTCAAAATGATCATTTTCCGTCTCTACCGCATCATTTCCTCTCATTCCCTATACATAGGGCATGTTGTATCTCAAAAGACACTCTTTGCTAGATGAGCACAAACAAACATAATATTGCAACAAATTCTCCAAATAAGATGCTTTATTTTAAGAAGAAAGGGAGTGTGTCATACTTTTACCCAAGAAAAGTCAGATGGCCAAGTGGAGGATTCATCATGGCTTGATGATCCTATCAATTATGGCTTTATTATTATAAAGTACTTCTGATCCTTTGTATAAGACAACAACAATTGATCATGCGAGAGTCCTCTACTTAGGTGGATACTAAGGATATGTTATATTTCTTGTTGAGTGAAAAGATGATCAAGATGAGATTTAGCGAGTGGCCACTGAACAATTTTCTAGTCTCCTAGTCCACACTCTGTAACCTTGTTGCATGGAGACCCATTTATCTATCTAAATATTCACTAATCGACCATTAACAATCCGTGGCCGTAGGCCTTCTCTAATAGATCTCTACAGGTGAGAATACTCCTCCATGTATAACTTGATCTACAGTCTGACAAGACATTAAAAAGATATCCTCTTTGTAACATCTTAGTTGTAGCAATATAGTCACCATAGCATTTAGAGATTAAAGTAACATATGTGCTTGTGTTGTCAACATAACCGGTTTGAAGATATAATAAAATCACTGAATCCCAAACCTCCCACCTAGTTGTTAGCACATGGTGTTGACCATTTCACCCAATATAGCTTTTTCTCTCTCACCCTCTAATCCCATAAAAATCTTGAAATTATGCTTTACATATGAGGGAAACACTGATTGTTGGAATATGAATATACTCATCACATATGTAGGAATCACTTTGGCTACAACTTTCAGCATTACTTCACTAACTACTTCAGATAATTTGGTCAAATTCCAGTTTTGAATTCACTTTCTAATTCTCTTCACCAGAAAACTGAAAGTAGAACTTGGTGATTGACCAATAACTGCAGGTATCCCCAAATATTGTCCAGGTACAATCTAAAGAGATACAACTAAAGAAATTCATTAAGAGGTAAGTAAAAATTAACATTCAAGTCCACTAATTAAATTTGAAAAGAAATAATTAATAATTATTTAATTTAGAGCATTTCAATGGATTCCAATTAAAGCTCAAAACCAGTAATTTGCACCTAATTATAATTAAGAGCCCAAGAAAACAAAAATATTTTAATAATTATAACTTTGTATGGCTACTCAACTATATGGTTAATTATACATGGATTTTAATCACGTTATATAAATAACTAATTAAGATTAAGATCAAATACTATTTGTTCTAAACAATTGGCATTAAAGTTTATTAATTAGAGAAGTACGCAATACTTAAATCTTCATGTCCATTGAAACTAGACAATGCAAGAGGTATTAGAGCTTTTACAGAAAAAAAAAAAAAAAAGAAAGCACTGACAGTCAGCTTGAGGATGGAAGAATTACCTTGAACAAATGAATGAAAGGTGGAAATCAGTTTTTTGAATTAAAAAACGGATTAATTACATGATTGTATACAGAATCTTCCCCAAGTATCTATAAATCGAACATAGATTCTGAATTTTTAGTACACTTTGTTATTATAAGATCATTCACCTGAAACCTTCAAGAACAAAATCATTCACTTAAGACCTTTTCAAGAGAATAGAACAGAATATGATTTTTTTTGGGAGTAAGGTTTTTAACAAGACTTGAAGAAGAGAATTAATTTTTCTCTCCAACTACTGCCCTAGAATCAGGGTATTAAATCTCTAAAATGCAAAGAACGCAAATCATTTCTTTATTTATTTTAACAGATAAATAGTTCCTCATATGGCCAATAAATGAAAAATATCAAATAAATAATGACAACAAACAACAAAACTGTGAAAAAGGAGTATACTTACACTTCAATTCTATTAAGTACTGTCAGAAGCCTTAGTCATGGTTCCAATCTGAAAAAATGAAAGAGAGAACAAAAAATGAGAGAGACTGGATTTGCTGAAGGCAATAGATTTCGATGCCTTCATTCCCAGAGATCATGCTCATTTATAGACTATAATGGCAAGGAAATTGAGCGGGAAGTGGAGCGTGCAACCTCCAGGCGTGCCTGGGGGCCGCAACGGCTCAAATGGCCGGCAGGTAAGGGTCCCTTTTTAACAGCTTTCTTTTTCACCGATCCAAAACCCTAATCCTAGTTGCAGTGGTTACACTGAAAAAGTCCCTTCTACCCCTGTAATTTTGTCCCTTTTGCCACTGTAAGGATATTTCTCTTTTTACCTTTTCTTCTGCATTATATTATCAGTGGCTTTGGCAGTTTCTTGACAAGTACATAGCTGTATCTCATCTCAAGTTTGCCTACCAATTTATTGCTTTCCCTGACATTAGTGGTTTGGGAGGTGATAATGATCTTACTTCAGGTGCTGAGCTAGGAAAGAGAATGTTAAGCTTGTGCATAAGGATGTCAGCCCTGGATGGAATCTCATTCAGAAGAAACTGTTGAACAATTGGTTTCTTAAACCATTCCATGACAGAGTCGCCTGGTGCCCGCAAAACAACCTTACCGACCTCAAATGGAGATTCTACGGAGCTCAACATCTGTGCAACAACAATCCTCAGTGTGGGTCCTGTCACTAATTTAATTCGTCTTGGAACAAAACCGTAATATAACATACGTTTTCTGAATCTATGCAGGGTGTGAACAACAGCAATAAGAGCAGCTCCCACTGATAAATTCCTAACATCCAAGGACCACGCAATATGCTGGTCAAAGACAATTGCCTTTGGGAAAAGCTTGTTTTCATAAGCAACTTTCCAAAAACATCGAGCTCGATTAATCTGGCCCATAAGAACAAGGTAATTGAGGAGAACGTTCACAAAATACCTTGCAGCACCTTCTTCAATCTCATAATCAATACCCTGAAAGAATTCCCTTACAAATGATAAGACTGGTTGCTTCCTTTGTTCCGGACCAGTGAAGAGCCCACACATGAAAGTGTGGGCCTTATGTTTTGTAGAACTAAGTATTGACATCAAATGCCTCTCATCCTGCTCTTCCTGGCATCTTACTAGATGTGCAAGAATAGATGTGTAAAGAATGAGATCCACCTTTGCAGCAGAGTTCACATAGGTCTCAAGAAGAGACTTGGCTGACTCATACAAACCATTTTTCATACATGATTCAAACAACTGTCTGATTATAAAATTATTTGTTTTAATGCCTGATGACCCCATAAACTTTAGCCACCTCAAAGCAAGATCAATAGAACCATCTTTAATATAAACCATCAGAACATCACTAGCACTCACATCAGCAGAATAGCCCATGGCCTTCATTTCAAGTAGTATTTTAGCTGCCACATCCACAAGCTTCTTATTGGCCAAAAGGGTAAGAAGGGAAGTATAAGTACTTAGGCCTGGTCTCAACCCGGCATTTATCATTGAATTGTAGAGCCTCATGGCAGAATCTACTTGTCCAGAGGCAGCATGCAACTCAAGTAGACATGAATAGGTTGATGGAGTTGGTAAAAACCCTGCCTTCTCCATATCTTTGAAGGTCGACATTGCAATATCAAGTTTCCCTGATTTTGCATGGGACTCAATAATTATTGTATACAAGCCAAAATTTGGCCTAAAACCTGCTTTTTTCATCTCATCCCAAAGCTTAAATGCAGTGTCTAACTTGCCAGCCTTTGCAAATGATTCAATCAAAGAAGCATACATGTTAGTGGATGGCCTAAGTCCCGAACCCTGCATTTCCATGAACACCTTCATTGACGTGTCCAATCTCCCAGCTTTACCCATTGAATCAACAAGTGATGCAAAGATATTAAAGCTTGGCCGAAGATTCCTTACTTTCATTTCTTGGAAGAGCTTAAGAGCTGAATCAAGCCGACCTGATTTTGCCAAACTTGGTATCATCAACTCGTAGGTTGGACAATCCAATGAACATCCAACTGCTTCCATGCTTTCGTAAATCTCAAAAGCCTTATAAGGCAAACCCCTATCGAGAAACAATGTCATAATAGTGTTGTATGTTTGCGTGTCGATTTTACAGCCAGATTCCAGAGCCTTCTTGAAACAAAAAAATGACACCTCTAATTTCTCAGCTTTAGCTAAATACTGAATCACCTGATTATATGCACTAAAAGAGGACGTCCCATTATTACTCGAGTCCAGAACCATTTCATCAAACAGAGACTGGATCCCGTTGAAATCTCTATTCAGGTTCAGCCCCTCAAACAAAATGGTATAACACTCATCTGTTGGTGAATACCAAGGTTGCCTCTTGGCCCATCTAAACAAACTTAATGATGATTCGCTATCTTTAATCAACTTCAAGGCTTGAGTTATATGTACCATATTTGGCACAAATTGTAGTTTTGCCAATTGAGCCTCTAGTTCTGGCCCCCATTTCCACCTCTTCACAACCTCAACAAGCTTTGCAACTGCAGAGGCATTGAAGAACGGCTTCTTTAACGAACCAATCATAACATGGTCATCAACTCCTGGTTCAACAGATCTTATGCCCTTGCCGCTGTATATAATACTGCCTGACTCATCTAAATACTCTACGTTCTCAGTCCACTCACCATATCCACCATCGCTGTTATTCTCAGAACAGTAATTCCTCAACATAGAAGGGCTCCGAATGTAACTAAGTTTACCAGTAAACAAAAGGTTGCTTGATACAAGAAAAACTGAGGGAAATGAATTGAAACCCCTCAAAGAGCTAAGGAGGCTTAAGTTACCGAAACAATTATTGACTATATCTGCGCAAGATTTAGAATTCAGTGGACTGAATGCGTGAACCTGAGACCTAGAGCTGGGGTTCTTGGTAAGCGTGGAGGGAAGATACCTACGGCACAATTTGGCACCACTATGAAGAAACATTGAATTTCAGGGCAGATTAAAAGAAGAAGAAAAGGTTTTCGAGATATTACAGTAGGTTTTTTCTCTACTTCTTGTGCTGGGTTTAGAAGTAGTTACCTAAATGTTGTCGCATGAGTTTCTCGTCTCCTACTCTTCGTGCCAATGCTAAAACCCTAATCGGCTCATGTTTTGGGGTTTTTGATTTTTCTCCCACGTGAAGAGCTCAAAATAACTTTTTCACATTGGAGAGAGGAGAAAATAATTTTTTAATAAAAATATTTTTTAAGCTTAAAAATATAAACTTTTAAGATTTAATGCATAGTGTTTTTAATATAAAATGTAATATTGTATATGATAATTTTTTCATAAAATTTAAAATAATAAAAAATTAATTAGTATAAATATGTAAATGATATCAATTTTTCTAAAAATTAAATTTAGATATTTAAATTAATTTTAATTTAACTATTTCATGTATTCTACTGAATATAAATATTAATTTTAAATTATTAGAGTATAAGTTTAGTATAAGAATTATTTAAATAATTTATAATCAAGATGGAGTTATTGAAATAAATTATATATTATATTTTTATTTTAGAAAATACTAAATTAATAATTGGTAAAATGTAAACTTAATAAATATACTCATCAAATATACTGTTTTTATTTTAAAAAAAATTATCATACTTTAATTTTTAACAAAAAAATATGCACGATGAATGAAATGTGAAGAAAAAAAATATAATATACTATTCATATGAGTTAGAATTTTAGAATTTATAATTAATTAAAATAAATCATATAAAAATATAGTTATATTTATATTTAAATAAATAATTATTATATATTATCACATTTAATTATTATATTAAAAAATAAATAACTATTATTTATATTATTACATTAGTTTTTTTTTTAAAATAGAACATTAATTAACCATAATTTTAAACTTTATAATATATGAATAGCTTATAACCTTTTTTGTTTCTTTCCTTTCATTGTGGTTTTATCTTTTCTTATTAAGAGTTAAGTTATATATATGCTTCATTATTTTAATTTGAAATGACTATTTCAAGAAATTATATCTTGTCAAATGATATACATTTAACAAATTATGATTATTTATGTTAATAATTAACTATAAATATAAAATAAAAAATAATTTAAATAAAATAAGATTTTACATTTATTTATATACTTTACTTAGTATAAAAATATAAATGATAACTTTTAGACAAAATAACTACAATTTGACAAGTCTATATATCAAAAGTAGATAATCATATTTCTCTATTTTGACTAAATTGATAGTTTATGAATATCGTAAATAAACTAATACATACAATAAGTTCATATTAACTAAACTCATTACCAATTTGTTTAAAAAGAATAATAGTATCATGCTCTACTCTTGTAACACCCTATATCCCGGAAGGGCGAGGCGTCATCCTTCCCCTTAAATATCCAATAATAGAGCATCCTATCTAAGGTTCCTAACAAGATAAAATCTCAATTCACAAGGAGTACTTATGTATATATTATCCGCTGTTCATTACACGTATATATCAAATCCTTTGCCCTATAGATACCAATCAAATCTGATCATTCCGTAAATGAGAGTAAATATAATGATGTAAATATAGTACTGTGTGTGTAATATTTCTAGGACCAAGTTAGACCAATTATCTCCATTAAGTGTTCATAGGTAGTGGATTCATTTCCTTACATGTCTTGGCCTTATTCTTGCTTCATTGGATCTGAAATAAAACAATAATGAGCTATACGAGCCCAGTAAGCTATATTTGAATTTAAAACCAAGCGAACTAAAAATACATAGACTTCATCTCCCAATTTCCTAATACCCGCCTATGTTATATCCTTAAAGTTTACCCTCTCTCATTCCTACAATTTCACCCCTTCT